GAGATACAACTCGAGATATCACTTCATGATCAGGAGACTTTCAGACAGATATTGAAACTACTATTGATTGACGACTTTTGAGTACCTAACAGACTGGGTTCATTGCAGACTAGGGGGGCTTATTTCCCTGGTATAGAGGACCAGTTTCTTTTCTTTCTTTTTTTCTATTTCTTTTCGTTTCCTTTTCTGTTTTCTTTTCCTTTCATAAGGGTGGAGCTGTGTGGGTCTCAAACCGTTGTCTAGGAAGAGGAAACGAGAAGTGTGTTGTTGTGATGGGTTTTAGACCTAGGATGTTTGAGGAATGAAGCGTGTTAGTTTCTGTCGTTTGTCTTGGGAATCCAGACATCTTTGAGCCTGGGTCCTCTGACTTGGAGAAGATGTGAAGTTTGCAACTTTCCTGTATATTAGTCTTGGGATTTGAACCTGGGATATCTAATAATGAAGCGTAAAATGTTTTGTGTTGAGGTTCAGTGGATTTTAGCTCTGGTTTATTGTGAAGTTCTGACAAGTTCTATGTTTTAATTGACGTAGAAGATAGCTTAGTTTTGAACTGGACCGGTGGTCATGAAGTAGGAGAAGTTACTAGGTTCTGGAATTTTGGGCGCGACGAAGTGTTTTTGTGTTGGGTTGACCTGATATGGTGCATACGTTTTTTGACGGTGTTCACGAGGTAGGTGACTCTTGGACCTATAAGCTATAAGCAATAACTACACTGTTCGACGTACCGACTTTTAAGACCCCTGAGGAGTTCCTAGTTTGGCTGCCAGGTGAAACTGGTCGAGGGTCGATCCCGCGTTTTGGGTATACTGCTTATTTCTTGTGCCATCCTCTCTTTTGTTGTGCATTTCTAACTCTCTCTTCTCCATCCCTCTAATTCTTGGCATGCGGCTTTGCATTTTGAGCCAGTGAATGCCCTGCTCGAGTGCTGAATTGAGCTATAATTAATGTTATCCGATGAATGTCCTGTTCGAGTGTTGAACTGAGCTATCCAGTGAATGTCCTCTTCGAGTGCTGAAAAACATACAACTACACAGTACTCTCGACTCACATATTTTTGTGAGTCCAGCCTTGCTCCACTTACTCACGAAAGGGAATCTTGAAATTCGAGTTGAGAGCAGTCAAAATTCCCTCTCAAATTGAACTCTCGAGGGTTGAGAGTCCCCGGCCTTCCAACTCTCGAATTTTTCGGGTGCTCCGCTGTGCCTTTCGAACTGCTTCAATTCGAGAGTTCACCGCGAGTCCTCTAGTACTGGGGAAATTAGAGAGTGCGGTGTTAGAGAGTAAGTGGAGCGAGGCTGCAAATTTCGAGTGTCTTGGGTCTTGTGACGCGCAACCTCACGCCCTGTGCTGTCTTTCGTTCGGAGTGTTAATGGTGCGGAAAGAAGGCCCAGAAAAACAGTAAGATGGGGTGTGCCAATGATTTTTGGAAAATTGAGTGTGGGGACACAGGCAGAACTGAAATCCCCCGTGTTGGTCCGATGAAGTAAGTCGGCTGCTTTCACGCGTCGCAGAATGCGCGCACGGGCGCGGCACGAAAAGAGAAAAATCCAAATTTAATCCAAAAAGTATTGTCGAATTTCCCACCGCGCTGTGGATCTTGGTTTAGAGCGGAAGGGCTTCGGTACACTCCGCATGTCCCGTTTCCGTATCAAGTCCCGACGTCGCTCGTTGGTCAGTTCAGAGTCCGACGTGGAGGGTCTCAGACGCGTGGCTCTTTTATTGTGCTCGTCTTCACTCCGTATCCGGTAGTGGAAACCCTTTGATTCGTAGCGATCGAAACGCTGGCACTCCGTACACAAGGTTCGAGGCCAATGGGGCACCTCTGCCGTCCACGGAATGACGATCAACTCGTTAAATGGCAATAGTACTGAGTAAGACGGGTAGTGTGTATCGACAATGACAAAGCCCGCATCCACGAATCCAGAACAACGGTTTTCGAGAGGGAAGTAATATCGTTCGCCGATCCGTGCGACCGCTTCTCGTACGTCCCACTCGCAAACACGTGTCCTTTCCTCGTTGTAAGGGAAGGGGCGCGTTGGCGAGGGAGATACGGGAGGCTGGCGCCCGATCGAGGTACGACCGTCAGTCCATATATCAATCAATCAAAATGAGTTTGCAAAAACCCCGAGACGTCTTCAAAAAGCACAATCGAAAAATAATTAACTATTATTTTCCGTCCCTTCGACACGGGAGAAGCGTGCTACAGAGTTCGTACAACCATGCAATAATCGGGTTGAAGTTTCGAGAGATCAACCCGCGACTCAGTTTCAGCAGACTAGGTCGACAAAAACCCGAGGCGCCTGACATTTTCGAGGCTGCCCCATAGACTGTCTGCAAATGTCGTGCAGCATAAGGCAGATGGCATGCGCAGTGCATTCAGAACGACAGATCTAAACACTCTTGCATTCTCGAACAAAATTCCGTCGAACACTGGGTCTAATCAATGCAAAAATACAAGCATTTCTATACTTACATCCACTGTGGAAGGTGCGAAAATGACAATGGTGCATCAAAAACAAATCGAGGGATAATACACAGTACTACACACGCATCCACCGTTCACAAGACAAGATGATTGGGCTCCCTTGCATCCGGGGATTACCCAGGCAACTAATGGAAGAGCTCCGAAAGAAGTTCTTCTGTGCGGGAAATCACGAGGATTCACTTTCTGTTCATAGGAGAGACAGACTCATAACACATCGCCATTCAATTCAGAGAGAGAGAGAGATGGGAGAGATAGACGAGAAATGTCGAGACGGGAGACACCGGATTCCGACAAGGGAGCATTCGGCTTCACAGCCATGAACTCACACAAAAAAAAATGATCCGCAACCATGAAGGCCCATTCGCCGTGAAATTCCAGTATGGCCCCGGGCCAATCATCCACTCAACTCCAATTACCAATCCTCGTACCCGCACCGACGATACCGGCCATCGCATGCTAGCTTACCACCACTGCGATCGTCACCCCGCTGACGCAAGCTCGACACGGCTCGCCCGGATCCCACAGTCTGTCGTGGCGATCAAGCGCGCAACCGGCCAACGTACAGTCAGCCCGAAAGGACTTTTCGACTCGCACCAAATGCATCACCTAGCCACTGTTTCCCGGAAGCTGGCTTGCAAGTGGAAAACGTAAGAGAGCTTTGCGGGCGCGCTTGCGGAATTTATAGTTGTGAAAAAGAAGAAAGACGGGGGAGAAGGCAGAGGGGAGATCGAGGTGTAAGAGGAGAAGATTCGGCGAGGGGTGCTCAAGGGAAGCCATGTTGATCCTTCGGAACTCAATGTTCAGCCAATCAGATTCGTCGTGCAACAGGAAGATCCTCTTGCTCAACGCGTCTAATTGGTGAGCGGGGGTAATCGATGGATCAACCGGGTTTCGTGTGCCAAGGTTGAAGAGCGGGAAGGAAAGAGGCGCAAAAAGTAGCGCGAGATGGGTCCAAGATTCAAATGATCAAGAAGGGAAACAGGTGTGCAAAGAGCAGAGAGAGGGAAAAACAGTTGCGATAGGAGAACAAGAGGAGGGAGAAGGGAGAGAGAAGAGAGTACGGGGGAAGAATGACGCGGTAGATAAGAAGGAGGAAGCTCGCATGCGCGGCGCCGACAACAAGAGAAAAGGCACCCAAACAGTTACAACTTGCCTATATCCTACCAATTCAAAAATTGAAATCGCCATATCCGCTCGCGAAAGTTGACGCGGGAAAAGAAAGTCCCATGCCTATCTGTATTTTCACAAAATTCCTAGAGTTTTCTCCGACGTGACCGATAACATTCATGCAAAGGAAAAAACATGTCGGGTTCCGCTTATCCCGGAATTCCTAACTGTCGAGCCCGATTCCTAGTGCGCTCGCTAAGGCGCGCGTAATTTCCCATGCATTTCCCGAATTACAAAAACCAGAATTCCAAGAATCAATAGAATCTCCGAAAACTGGGGGCCTAAACAAGGCACCTGAAATCAAGAAAAGGGACAGGGGCTTTGTTGGGTCGGTATGATACAAAAAGGGGGAATTGAGTCAAGGGGTACGAAAGATAGCACGGGGTCATGAAGTGGTTCGTCACATATGTGACGCGCAGGGGGTTTCAAAACTATGCGATCTCCTGATTGCATGAAAAACTTTGAACAAAGGAAGTGGGAGGAGACGAAGAAGCAGGAAGAAGTAGGAGGCTCAGATCAACACAATCTATGTCAACAGAGAAACTGGGCCAGGGTATGAGTTGACGACAACATTCGTGGCAAGATCTTTGTGATGCGTGCCAACTTATGCTGTCTCAGATTCCCATCCTCTGCGGTCCTGTCATATGCAACCCTCTGCCCTTCAAACTTCGGAGATCGTCCAGGTGGCACCATCATGGTCCATCAGGTCTCCATGTGCTCTGCACTCCCCGTCCAGCGCAATCCGTCGAATCAGAGCATGTGTTGACGTCATCGTCAATAGCGTGATCTTCGCGAAACTGCTGATTCGTGCTGCTCGGGGGATACGTGTCGATTTCTCCAGTCGATCGCCACGCTCAGAACGGTCATTGACAAGAAGGGGGCGGGATGCGCCGTCGTCGTGACACGTGGCGAGTATCAGCGCCGAGTGGGAATGGGAAAGTAGACATTATACATGGAGGGGTGTCGACGGGGAGGGTTGGGGGGAAGTGGGGATAAGTAGCGGTTCATCCCTTCCTCTGTGATTGGAAGCTCCTCGTAGCGGATGATCCGGTGAAAGCGGGGGAATCGGTCGCCGCTGTGAGGGAGGGAGGCGAGGTAGTCAGGATAGAGGATGGAGAAAGTGCGGAAGAGTGCTGCGAGAAACAGCTCGTGATGGCGACATGCGGGGATGGTTCCTGTGATTACGCAGTAGACTTCTACGGCGTTACTCTGCTCCCACGCGGCACTGAATAAAAGGACGTGCAAACAGAACGTGGGGTTTGCACATTGAAGGGAAGGATGGGGATGGACGGTGACGGCGAGGTGGGTGGAGTAAAAGTGACGGAAGATATTGGGGGGAAAGGGGTTGCGAGTGAAGGTGACGGGGGTAGAGATCTGACAGAGGGTGAGGTAATCAAGGGGATGACGGGATAATGACCGGGGACGAAGGCCGATCCCCCGCATCGGTACGTGGACGAACTGGGGGACGGGCTGAGGTGGAGGGGGAGGGGGATCGGCTCCGTCTCCATCGCAATGCGCTTGGAGCCGCGGTTGCTGGGTCGCCATCTTCGGGTTTGGGGGGCTCTGGATCCCTGGTCGGGTCGTCGTTGATGCGCACTGGCAGGTTCGCCTGGCTGGCGAACTCCAGCTGGCTTTTCCCGGCGGCGATCTCTTCCCTCTTAGGTGCCGCCTCGGGATCTTCCGCCTCCATGCCTGTGCGCGCCGCTTCTTCCGGCAAGGCCTCCCACTCCGATCCGGCTTCCTCCTCTTCCTCTTCTCCTTCTTCGTCTTTTTCGTCTTCACTGTGCTCCCCTTCGATGTGCTCACTATAACTCTTTTCCTCCGACGTTTCTTCTTCGGCGTCGTCCTCTTCTTCGGTGGTTTCTTCTTCTCCTGCCTCCTCGAACGTATCCTGCTTCGAATAAAAGGCGAGATTGATGATTCTGGACGACTTCAAGTACTCCTGCCGCGATGGCAGGGCGCTTTCACTCCCCGATTCCTCCAAGCACACAGTCCACTGAAGATACGGTGCCAATGTCAGCGTAAGGACGTGCGGAGCCGGACTCTCGTCACTTTGCGAAACAATATCGAGAGAGAGGTCGTCAACCAGTTGCGCGAGCGGGACGGCGAGTTCCTGGACAATTAGCTGGCGATGGCCTGGTCGCACCGATCCGAAAAGAAAACCGAGAAGATCGCCCTCTACGTCAGTTCTCCAAGCCTGGATAATCAGCAGCTCCAGGTACTCAATACATGCCTGATGCTCGTCGGTCCTCGTCCACGTCACCTCCACTCGGGCCAAGCACACAGACGGATCGACAAAAGTCTCGCGCCACACCCGCCAATGTCTGGGATTGAAGAGAGGGACTGCAAGGGGCTCGAGCAAGAAGGAAAGGCGAGGATGAAGATCGGATTGCCAGAAGGTGGGGACAAGAAAGGGAAAACCAAAGGTGGAGAGAGGAGTGAGAGGAGCGGCGCGGTTCATTGGGGGTGGACAATGAGCTGGCGATGGCCTGGTCGCACCGATCCGAAAAGAAAACCGAGAAGATCGCCCTCTACGTCAGTTCTCCAAGCATGGATAATCAACAGCTCCAGGAACTCAATACAAGCCTGATGCTCGTCGGTCCTCGTCCACGTCACCTCCACTCGGGCCAAGCACACAGACAGATCGACAAAAGTCTCGCGCCACACCCGCCAATGTCTGGGATCGAGAAGCGGGACTGCAAGGGGCTCGAGCAAGAAGGAAAGGCGAGGATGAAGATCGGATTGCCAGAAGGTGGGGAAAAGAGAGGGAAGACCAAAGGTGGAGAGAGGAGCGAGAGGAGCGGCGAAGTCCATTGGGGGCGTTGGAAGGGGACGAGGGTGGGGAGCACCACTGCCGGCTGGCGCGTAGAGGTGCGGATCTCGTCGAAGTCAGTCCCGTATGTTGGGACGAGGTTGCACCCGGGGCGCGTAAGACCGTGATGCCACTCAGTCGATAACTGCTACGTCCACTATTGTAATGAGGTCAGGATCGCGGTATACCGAAGCGGGCTGATCGCGCTGATATCGCCGTTGAAGGCAGCGACCGCGGTGACGTGGCTCGTTCTTGGAGCCGCCCGCCGATGAAATGCTACCACCTCTGCCAATACCACTGCCTGTAGACTTCCGACGAATCGGAACGCAACAGCGGCACACACACCCTTGGTGTAGAAGAACTGCGTGAGTCGTCGAAGATCAGGACTGAGCCGTGGATGACGAACTTGTTGGATCTCCGAGATGTAGCCACGTGGCTGCAACAGATCATTGCCAAGAGCTTGCTCCGTGATGGAACTCATGGCGAGGATGGGGAAGAAGATGAGGGATGGGAGAACGACGCGGGAGCTAGATCGTCGTCGTCCTCGTCTTCAGCAGATGAGGGAGACGGAGGGAGGGGACGGATGTAAGAGGTATGGCGGACGGTGGGGACAGAGTTATGGCTGGCGCTGGCCTCAGGCGCAATGCGCACCGTATTGGCACCGTTAGGTCCGAGCTCGACAACGCGGAAACAGCCAGAGAACTTGGGAGCGAGTTTTCGGTCGCGTGCACATTTACGTACCTGCACCAGGTCTCCTAGTTTATATTGATGTTGGGGACTAGCGTTTCCATTTCGGGCCTCGTAGCTACGGACTTGCCTCCCGTGGGCTAGATCGGTCATTTTCTGTCTCTTTTGGGCTAGCTTCGGGATGGCCTTTTCCATTAAATTGGCATACCTCTTGGCCTTCGCCTTAAGGGCGACAGGTGTGTCTCTACCCCCTGCTTCGACAATTTTCGAGTTGCCCCGGTAATCGACGCATGGGAGGCTATTGGTGCGAAGCTGAAAGGGGGTGAACCCCGTAGATTCGTGAGGGGTGGCCCGATGAATTCGGGCCACAGACACGTTGTGGGGTAACCCAGGGAAGGGCACCTACTGTTCGCTGAAGCCAAGGGCAACATCGCCTGTCACTCGCTGCGCCCGCTTCAGAGGTCCTCAGCAACCAGCAGGGTGGCCTTTTGTGGGCCGGCTGTCACACATCTTGTTTTAAATAGATCTTTTCGTCATTGCCAGAGCACGTATGTATAGCAAATAACACCGTTCGGTTTAATGTCCCTTCACTTCAAGCTATT